AATGGAATATGGACCTACTGACTAAATATCTTGCACGAAATATCTTGAATACCTTGCACTGAATCAGTTTGTTGAGATCACTTGATCTTAGACGATGGAGCTGGACTCCAAAACGTATTATTTTATAAAGATATGATGAATATTTGTGCCTTGTAATTCGTTATTGAATTCCTTGTCGGTTTATTGAGTCTTTCAAGATACGAGGGAGAAATATGTAAACTTTTTACTCATCTTGATTACATTATTTCGAATTTCCATTTTTGCTGGGCCAAAACTGGGTCAAGATGATACACACAAGCGCAACAAAGGACGTCTTTGCAATTAGTACAAAGTCTGCCTTATTTCATTGAGTGCATTTGCAGAGCAATCAGGCGGACATTCCGCGCCTGCTGACAGCCACGAAATTTTTTGGTCTTCTGGCAATTAGTTGCGCTTTTACTGATGCTCCTGATTTGAATATAGCTTTAAATTCTATCTATTTAATGTGGATATACGATCTTCTCTTATAGCAATTAGTTGCACTTTTAATGATGCTCCTGATTTGAATATAGCTTTATATTCTTTATATTTAAAGTGGGTACACGATCTTCAATATTTATCGTAACTTCTACGCATAGAAGAAGTCGGGTCGATAGATATAAATGAATTATCAATAAAATGTGAGCGAAACCATGGTTTTGTTTGTCATGTACCACAGAGTTCGATTGTTCTTGATTCCCATCATGGGGGTGAGAAGAAAATTAAATGTTCGAGGTATAGGATTTCAATTTTTCTTTAGAAATATATAACTCTGGTTAATTTTCATTATGCCGAAAAAATATTTAATTTTTAAGTTTTTTGCTTCATAATTTGTTGAAAGAACAACATCATAAGTCTGGAAGCAAAGTTATTTTCAGCAGACAGCTTGGAAAATGCAGCTTGCAGTTCACAAGTTCCCCAAAAGGTAATTTGTATGATTCGCTTTCACAAGGAATCACTCGTCTAAAGTCATGTAATTAAATGAAGTAGTTAACCCGCATATTATTCAATTGCAAAATATTATTGGCACGTTACCTTTAACTGATCTTAAAAAAAAGTACAATGAAGAGGAGCAAAAAAACGCGAAGAGAAAATTTGAAATTAATGTATTTTTCAAATTACATAATCCATGTTAGGTGTTTGACACGCGACGCGCGAACAATTAGCTCAAATGGGCGAAGGTAAATATCAGTTTTGACTAGATTCTTCAAGACAATCTTGATAACTATTTGAAGCGATAAAATGTTATCCACAGCCGCAAAATCAGCTCTTGTCTTTAGCGTTAACCAGGATCAAGGTGAAGAGTTTTTACGAAATGAAGGAAAATTACAGCATATGCGCTCTACATTTCATCATAATATGCAACATATCGTCATCTCAGATGATTATAAAGATGTTGCGCGACTTTATTTTTCTATTATCACAGTTCATATGCCATACACGCTAAAATCTCTATGAGCCGTGTTAAATTGATTGCCCAAGTAAGGAAAAGATCCTAGCTATACTGAGACTAGGCGGACAATATTATAAGTATACGTTCTGTTGAACGTGACCGTCGCTTGTCAAGCAAGAAGCTGGCAGCATGCAACATCTAAAAGAGTTCCTAAATAAACAAATGAGAAGTGCACACGAAGCAACACAGACCGACAGATGAACAATACACGACACATACGTCAGTTTCATACACCCACCCATACAGATCTAAAGTCACGTTAATCAACACTTTTCATAAAAATTTACAACAATTTTATCGAGTTTTTTATCGTTAATTCAATTTGGCGTTTTTAGAAATCACCGAAGTACCGTCGAAGAAGCTCTTCATATTTAAGAATGTAATCACTTGAGATGTAAATTGTAATTAGAGTTTATTGAGAGGACAATGAGGGAATGTGCGTGATAAATCTTCCATGCCATGAACTTTCTTCTCCAAGATTCCAAAGCAAACTGTAAATTCCACAGTGAGTCTCTTGAACTGAACAACGAAGTTCAAGAGACTCGATCCCTGTTATAGCGTTTAGGCATTGTATTTCTGCGTACACACAATCCATTTACTGTAGCATGGCTTTTGTATTTTGTCAGACATTCGCCTCATAACGCATTTTGTCAGACATGCGCCTCACAACGCATTTTGTCAGACATGCGCCTCAAAAGGCAATTTGTCAAACATGGCCTCTCACCGCATTTTGTCTGGCTTGAGCCTCACAACGCATTTTGTCAAACATGGGCCTCTTCCCTCATTTTTAAATCACAGGCATCACAACGCATTTTGTCATCATATTTTTCTTTATATATCAGACAGCCCATGAGGTTTATTCATGGATCATTTTTCTTCAGCCGGTCAGTCCGTAAAATTAAAATTTTGATCGGCATGAAACTTTCGATTCATAAGGAATCTACCATCGAAGTTTGAGATAGGAAACTACGAGTACGCACGTCATGGACATGAATAGCTAGAGTTAACATTATTACATGGACCTAAAAACTTCGGAAGGTAAGATTGTGGAGGGAACCGAGATACGAGTCATTTCTCCCTATTTATAGATAACAATATAATTAAGAACAAGAAATGTAGCAACAAGTAAATTATTCTTATTAATAAAATATTTTCGAAAACTTTTAAGCCCTTGGCATTGGAAAACTAAAAATTGCGAGACAATAAAAAATGAAAACGTTAAGAATGAAGCGTTCAAGATACTCGAATAAAAGTTTTCTAATAAATCCGAACGTTTTTCGTTTGCAAATTTCAAATAATACGGAAATGTTTCATTTGCAAGAAATGGATAAACGCATATGGGGTCCTCTGATATATTTCTTTTAGAATCTGATTCTTGTCACTCGTATTTGCAAAGTAAGGGTCAATTATTGGCCCGTCCATAAAAATATTTTGACGCAAATGATTATTTCAGTAGCTACCTTGAAAAGGATTTACACGGAAGACAAAATCAATACAATCTTAAGTTAAAGACTCTATGCAGCGTAGACACAAGTCCACATTAAAGCAATGAATTACGTACATTATATTGCAGATAAAACAAATAATTATTGTGCTAAATTAGGGACAATGCCACGGGCAGATCACGACTGCCGAGCGAGTTATTCTAAATTATATCTCAACTTAATTAAAATCAAGAATTATTCTGAAACTATTCAAAAATGTAAAGAAATAATAAAGGATTAACATATATAAATATAACAAAAGATCACAAAAATACTGAACCTTTATAGACAGCTCAGTACTATACATGACGACGCGATTAGAGGACAACATTTGCATTATTTCCTGAAGGAAAACAAACTTTCGACACACATTAACAAAAAATTGGATGCGCACAGCGAGAAATTCATGAGTTACTCCTAAGCACGTCATTCACATTCGAAAAATATTCATTTCATGCCTCCACGAGTCGTGTTGACGTGGCCACTGAGTCCTACCGAAACACTGAGAAATAAATGGATTATTCAGAAAGAGAATTAATGAACACGTGGTGAAAATGTTGAAAAAAATGCCCATGTATTGCAGACTTAAGACGATGTATTACCTATAAACAACTACAGAAAGAAGCGCCCATATCATTCGTTTATCAAGTCGTTTCTGGTGAGCTTTCGGCACTTACGACTACAGAAGGAATGTACAAATATAACGTCTACTTAATCACAACCTTCACCGTCCGGTCGGTAAATCCAACAAATTCTTCGTCAGAATTGAGAAACATGTACCCAGAATTGATGCCCTTCGAGATTAACTAAATTATAGCACTATTACAGATAAAAGTTTACTTAGGGAAGTAACGCAATTCGCCAAAGGCAAATGGCAACAAACAGCAGAACGTCGTAACTATCTTAACAACATTACATCTTTTCACGTGTTTTGAGCTTTGCCCAACGTCAAGAGACAATTCGCATCACGGATAGACAGTCACGTATCAACCGCATGAGCACATTTTATGAACGAAATTCTAATCTCAAATGATTCGTAATACATTAATGATTCTGTACAGTAATGATGACGAGATTAAATATCAACTTAATCACGCGGTGCAAAGTTGACCGCATAAAGTAAGTCTCAGAAAACTACGGAGAAAACGACGTCTGTTTACTTGCGGTCATGTCACGGGGTAAAATATTTCGTACTTTTGTCTCACATGCAAAGCTGACGAGTGGCACTTATTTTATTTCTTGCAGTTGTCTTTGGCACTGATGCCACTCTTTAATGAACAATTCAAAGCTAAATTTAATTTTAATATCCTAAATGCTGATATGAGTTGCAAAATAATTTGAAGAAAAAGCGTACTGTTAATGAGCTTCAACGAACAAATTCTAGACTTTCATGCATTCATTTTATTTAGAGCCTTAAAGGCCTTATTGAGATGCATGTTGAAAATTTAATTGTTGCCGCTAGATATTTGATACAAAATTTATTTTTTTCATCATACCACGTTGTAGTTTGAAATTTTCAAGCAGGCTGACGTCAGTCAAAAGCTACAGCAACTCGGTTTGCAAAGCTTTTCCTATTTGAAGAAGACTTGCTAGATTTGGCAGGAGAAGTCTATGGCATAATTTTAGAAAAGGGTTCCTATAACTGCTAGGAGTTTCAGAGGATTGTGCTATATTGCTAATTTTTACGCTAAGAGAGTAGATATATCCTTGCATAGCATGGATTTATAGAGAAGTAACTCGGCTTACACAACGCATCCTGAAAATCCTAGACATGATCATGACCGCTTCGAAGCCAACTAAGAAACGGATTAAAAAAAATCGCGTTTCATCAATGGACTGTTGGACATATTTGTTTGTGCTGAAGCGACCTTTCTGTGGATCACATAAGCCAAGTGCAATCGAAAACCCAGAAAAAGTGACTTTGGATCTGAGTTTGAAAATATTTCTGTAAATTTCGAATTTGGCGAAAGTAATATAAATATTTAATCATGTAAATGACTAAGTATATGAAACTAATCGAATGAAGAGTAAATCTGTTACAAATGACTCAATAGTAGACGAAATTTATTCAGGTTCACTAATTAATATGTTAATTCACGTTCAAAATCGGAAGAAAATAAAATAATTTCAGTGATTACACCAACGTATTCTGCATCACCAAATCCTATAAATGATACGCAAATCACATCCACATAACTGCGATCATTTCCGATCATTGACTGATTAAATGGACCAAGTCTAGGATCTTCAAGAACGAAGTTCAAACGTCGAAATAAGTTGATGTTTTGACAACAAGTTCACCTAACATAGCTTGGTCAGGTCATTCGGTGGGCATTCGGTAGTGGTTGCCTTGATGACAGCTTGGTGACGGTGGTTGTTGCTGAGATGGTTGTTGTGGTTGTTGCTGCATTTGGTGGGGTGGAGGTTGTTGTTGTTGTGGATGGTAGTGGTGGTGGTGCTGCTGGTTGGGATGGTTGTGCAGACGTCTCCGACAGTCACTGTTGTCCGCACTCAAAGGCCTGTATCGCCGGAGCCTGGTCGAAAAAAATCGTGTACGAAATTGGGCTAACTTATAATTGATATATTAACATAGTATAGATCTTTTGAGAATTTTTAAATACGTAATGCATGAAATCTATAACGAATGTCATTACGTTTAGGAGAACCTGAAACACGCTAAATTATAACCCAATATTTATTCATCTTATATGTACTGAAACACCTACAATGCATAAAACCACTGTCAATAAACCTATAAAACATGCTCGAAAAAACTTAAACTATCAATATTGAGCATAGATCAACAAAAGTTCGTTACTAATCACCTAGCGTTGACATCGCGGGTTGGCGGTGGATCAGTGGTGGGGGGCCTTGGCTTGCGGTGCTGCAGGTGCCGGTGCTGGAGGTGAGAGCTGTCAGACTCGTCCGACTCCTCGTGCTGAGGCTTCAACAAATACGTCGGCACGCCCCTGGCACCGTCGAAATATCGTCCCCCGGATCCCATCTCTATCATCGAAACCCGTTGTCTGGAAAGATAATTAATCAATTGTCGAAATATCTCTCACCGCAACCCATCTTAGTCATTAAAATCAGTTGTTCAGTAATTAAGCTGTGTTTGTATTGCTCCATAAACATATTTTTTCTAACTCTAAATAACCATGCGACTTCAAGATAATAAGTCACACTGACTTGCCCCATGTGCCTTTAATTTGAACAGGGGATATTCGCCTACATTATGCATTTAGATATCAACCCATAATGAGCTACTTACCTATCCTGTCGGGTTCTGGCGTTCAGGAGAGCTTGGGGAGGTGGGGTGACGTCCGACATTGGACGAGTTCTGCGGCGCTGGAAACGCAGGTTGAGCTGCGACTCGTCAGTGACGTATTTTTCGACCCCTCTTCGTTTTCGAAGTGCGGGAGTAAGATCTGCAAATTCTTTCGTCATGTCTTCTTGACTGATTGCCCCATGAAAATCGTTTTCATCTTCCTCGTTCTCGTTTTCACGGCCATAAGATAATATTCTAGCTGAGCGAGAGTTTTTACGGTCGGACAAAAGGCTTCGAGTGCTGAGGCTGTTGTCGTCATCGTTTCCTTGTGGAGACATTGCGATGTCTACTACGCCTAAAGATATTTTCCTCTCCGTGTTTTCGTACCTGGTGGATCTAAGGTTCGCACCTGCAATGTTCGGTGTAGAGGTGTACAGTAGTGCATGCTCTTCTCCGTGATCGGAAAATTTTCCGTTTCTGCTTTTGGTGGCCACGGGTATTCGACTCCGAGGACTCAAGTCATCAGTGGGCGGATTCCGAAATTTATGTTGAACAAAAATTTCCGGCGATGTTGACGTACGCGATCTCAGTTCACTGGGTCGAGGAGTTGTTGTTGATCTGGAAGACAAATCTGAACTTTCTAGAAGATTCTCGCACGACCGCCGCTGACGAGACGACAAATTTCTCCTCTCGCTGTTGGGAGGCGTTGACTTGGGGGAGCTCGACGTAGTTCTTGGTTTCGCGAGACTTTTTTGCATTTGAAAGGCAGATGGAAGATCCTGAACGAGTATTACAGATGGTTTTCTATTATCAGAATCATCGAACATTTCATCGATTAAACATTGTACTGACTTCCTCCCTTCAGTGTTTATGTGATGAATATTTCCATCTTTTCCAATTTCTTGGAAAGCTGATTCATACTGGCTCGGGTCAGGTGGCATCGCCACCGAATCATATTGGGTTAAGTGCTCAACTTCTTTCAGTTGGCTGACTTCAGAGACTGGCGGAAGCAGTGCAGAACTGCTGGCGCTTTTCTTCTGTTTGGGTTTCAAATCATGACGAACGTCAGGTTGTTCTTCTCTAGCAGCCGTTTCAAAGGAGTCCTCATCGTTCTTGGAAAGAATTTTGCTGTGAGTTGAATAGTCATCCCTGCGTATGATGCTACGACTGAACGATGCGTCGTGGCCTGCTTGTGCGTCGAAGTATACAGACCTCTCATCCAGCAACACTCCTGGACTGCTCATGGCGCTTTCTGTGACCAGGTTCGGGATATCTAGCAGTGGCTCAGGGAAAAAACTTTCCTGGTCATTTTCTAGGCCAGAAAATGCTGGAGGGGCAGGAACAACTTGGTTCAGCTCCTCTCGAGACATTCTCACTTGCCTCTGCACGATCGTTGTCGCGCCTGAAGGCTCGGAGAATTTTCGGTCTTTATCCATGAATCGGAATTCTATTTTACAATCGACGACGGCATCTTCGCCGTTCTCTTCCGCTTCATCTTTATCGTCGTCATCTTCTTCTTCTTCCTCCTCCTCTTCCTCCTCTTCTTCTTCGTCATCGTTGTCAGCGATTCTGTAATGAAAAGTTTATTTGATTCGATGAATGAAATAAAATGTTAGGAATAGAAATGGTTTGAGTGATTCGATTTTATCTTCAAATTAGAAAATTCGAACATAGTTTCTGCCTTCATATACTAACATATTTCATTTCAAGATTCTATCTGATAAGTCATAACTTATTATCCTAGTTCGGGCAATATAAGTGGAAAATGAGCTCATGCCTAATTCTCAAATTGAATTCCAGTTCGCCGATCCAGGTTTAAACTGAATTAAGGGGACCGTCTAACCTAAAATTTTCAATTTAGGCGTTTTCCACTTTTTGGGCTCATCTTAAAGCTCACTTTTCAACGCATTCAACGGTACCAGAATCATCCCTGTGCGTCAAAAAATGATTTCGTGACAGCTTCCCAAAGAAGGGCAGTTTTTAGGCCCTTTAAGAAATGTCTATGGGAACTAATTAAGATTTTCTATAGTAACCGTTATTTTTCCGTTTTCTATGAATATCACGTTTTCTATCAATTTTTTCGAAAAATTCATAGAAGTAAAATGTTTTTATTTTTACATTTTACGTTTGAATGTGAAGTTTCATGATGATCGGATAATAACTTTAGGAGTTATAGGCTATCTCCAATTTAGGTTAGACGGTCCCCTTAATAACCTTTATTTAAATAGTGTCGATCGTCGTAGGTAATTACCATATTCATCGCTGAGATGACAAGAATAGCACTAATATCAGCATTCTAATATTTGCATAAAAAATTCAGTTTCAAATCTCAATGTTCTAAGCGTTGCAAGACGACTGTTACTGCGAAAAATGTCAGGTTTTGATAACAAAAAATTACCCCTCAATTTGGGAGAGCGGAATCAACTAAAGGTTTATGATCGAAAAGTTTACACAGACTTGATGTTGTCTATTATTTTACAAAATAACTAGTTCAAATGGTTCTCCATCTATCGTGAACTTCATTTATGTCATCTCACTATAAATAATTTTTTAGCCGCATGCCCATTGTTTCCGTAATTGGAAAGATCCCTTGGCCATAGACTCAAAAGTCGCTTAACTACGCGTTATTTTGTTGTCTTCGATTCGTGAAAAGCCGTCAGTGATTGACTGACAGTGTTACGAACTCTCGATCATTTTTAGCGCATTTTCTCAATTATGGAAAAAATGCACTATTGTGCTCGCCATGTCCGTCCGTCCGTCTGTCTGTCCGTCCGTGACTCCACGTTTTCGTCGACGAGAAAATGCGCTCTCTGTCACTCAATGCAGTGAGTACTGAGTTATATTTTTTATAGTATGGGCTCATGGACTGACAATGACGTACCCAATATCCGGCATGCTTTGCCGTCGCTCCGGAGTGACGGGTGACCCGTCCCGGGACGTTTTGATGGCCAAACCACGGGTGACGTCCAACTCGTAGGATGCATCAGCAACGTGGGTTTGTTGAAGAAGAGGTGCTTCCAAGCCTGGCCGAAGATGACTCGATAACTGTGGGTTAGACCATACGCGTGGCAAACGTCGGTTGTTTGTAGGGGACTTGTAGCTCATGGTGATCGACGAAGCCAATCTGCCGTCTGCTGTTGCTGCCATTGTTGATGTTGTTGTCGTTGTTATTGCTAAGGGGATGTCTTTGTTCGGATTCGTTTTGTACTTTTCAGAGGCATCGGAAGACACTCGGGCCACAAGCCTGAGCTCTTCCACCGCCTGACTTCCACCCACGAGTGTCAGGTCAGGAACCTGCGATCATCCCAACGTGTCAGTCAAACCTTAAGTGGTTTATCCAACGACTACTAATTTCCTCTGTTTCAACACTTTCTTCAGCTTTTCAAAACAGTAAAAAATTAATATGCCTTCCTATGTGTTCCAATAAGGTAAATAATATTATTTAATTAAATAAAAGTGAATAATAAATAAACCTAATTCATTATTCCTGGCTTTGAAAAACAAATAGTCTTCACGAATATTTTTGATTAACTGTTTTCAATTTTCGAGAGTCTAGCGTAATCAATTGGTTCTCTTCGTGCAATTATTGGGAACATATCGCGGGATATATTATAATTTCACTAGTACTTCATTTTCCCAAGCAAAATGATAGCTTCAAACTTTAATGGTAGCCAAAAAATGTATCAAAATTCTACAAGGAGATTAATCGATTTTTAAAACCATTACTACGAGCTAAGAAATGCAAAATAACTAGGGAGCTCTACAAATCAAGCTAGTCATTACCTAGTCTGGCAGGTTAGTAATAAGTTATTAGTATCGCTTAAGTCATCCACACCCGTCGAAGCGAATAGATTTTGAAGTTAGTAACCTGAGTGTTAGTAAGGTAGTCGGACGATCGCAGTCTCTCTTCCTCACTTATACGCGAAACATCAGCAGCGGCCGCTGTCACATGTGAAGGCTGCTGCTCATGGCTGAAGTCCTTCTTATTGTCATTGAGCTGTTGTGGCGCGTCTGCGGCCCGCTCGCTACCTTCCTCCGCTGCTACAAGCTGTTTTGTTTCGAGGTGTCCACGGGAAACAGAGATTCGCCATCAAATTATGGAAATCACGAGTAGCAAAAAACTGCATTAGTCAATGCGTTATGGCGGAATAGAGTATCATCTTGTATAATTGATAATCAGTATCGCCATGTGCGGTGTTTTATCACAAATCAACGTCAGGTAGGAGACAAGAAGATGGACTAGCAGCCGAGGCTCGTAAATGGAGCGTATCACTGTGACAGCAGCGCTGCTTTCTAACCTATTATGCTATGAATGAAACAAAAACCAAAAATACCAACCGCCATTCGTTTTTTGTGTTCGGGGCTTTGCAAATTATCAACTTTCAGTTCGTTGTCGGTCTCCTCGGAGTCGTCGAATTGAGACTTCCACTGTGACGCAAGAGTAAGTCCGCCTCCACCACCGCCCTTCGTGGCAGGTTGCGACATGTTGTCGTCGTCTGCCACGGCGAACTGCGTGATGGACAGGTCCCGGTGGCCCAAGAACTTGGTTCGTGTCACAGGATGCAGCCTGCTGCCAACACAGCTCATTGGTCTCCGAAACAAGGATTACGTTCACACGAAACGATTTTGGCGCTGAAGTCAGTTCAAAATACTTTGATTTAGCAAGAAAGGACGAATGTTGTCATATATAAGAAATAATCAGTTAAACACGAGAACTATATAAAATATTATTCGAAAATCTTTTGAGCTTAAACAACTCTTAAAAATTTGGCTACGCAATCACCTTCGGAATCAGAAATTATATGTGTAATTATATACCTCGATATTCTCAAGTTCGACTCACAAGTGGTTTAAACCAACTGAAAAAAAGTTAGTTTGAACATTGCAGCATTATAAAAGCTCTGCGTTTTTCGTATAATTTGTGAATAACCATGACTTCAGAAATAAATACCTACCTCTTTTGATTAGCCCGTCTGTGCAAGGGATGCTCGCGCCCCAGCAGCTCCAGGTCCGTGGGAGGGGTCGACGCTCCTGGAGAGACGCCCCCTAAGGTCATCGGGTCCGAGGACCGTGGAATGCGGCTATCTTGGAAGCTCAGGTAGCTGCCATCCTGCGAAGGAGGATAATGTAAGTGTAGGAATAAGCATCGTATCTATACATAATACGTCTTAGCAACTGCTTTGGTTTCAATGAAATCGCCGGAGCTTCGTGCAATGGTCGCCTTTTCAGAGCTTTCGCTCGAGTTAGTTTCATATTCTTTCTTTCATAATGTCTCAAATTCTACCGAGCAACGTAACCTTTTGAGTACGGTTCACATGATCAATCACAACGATGAGCGTTAGATTAATCCTGTTATATCTGGCATTCTGAATACTAATTGCGTCATCAATCACAAAAATAGACACCAAATAAGTTTTTTTATTTGGCCTTTTGAATACTGTTCGCACCAACAGTCGCAACGATGGACGCTAAACAAGTCATGCTATGGTTAGCTGAAACTTTCTGAGAGAAGACTACTTAACGTACCTGATCGTCACGCTTGCTGCCAGTTTCTGCATTCATTTCGATGTCGTCAACGGGCGTATCAACAGACGATAGCCTCAGTACCGCTAAAGGCTTCCTGTTTTTATCGTCTGCTGTGGCTGAGTTATGTGACACTGGACCGCCCACCACCACAGACAATCTGGGAACAAAAGGGTTTTGAAATTATCATAGGCTTAGAAACAAAATAAGCACATATCAAATAGTAAAGAAATATTTAAGACCTAAAATTAAGACGCATATAATTCATGAAAATGTTATTTTTAATTTACAAACACTGTTCTGAAAATTCTTAAAATTTGTGAAAAGGTAGAGATAAGTATCAAAGCTTTGAAAAAGTGAACGATATTTGCTGAAAACACAATTTTCAAACCCCTCGACTATCACTCAGAAAATAATTTTCCAACGTAGGTTCTAAAGATCCACTGACTTGTGAGTTTTCTTGCCAAGCTTGCCATCGAGGTTAGATTCGGCGTCCCATTCTGCGTTGGACTCTTTGTCTTTCTCCGGCTGTCCCGTGTCAGCTTCCTTCTCATTGCTGGCATCGTCAACCTAAGGCAGAGATATACGCACGTTAGGCTCTTGTTCGTGCATTAAATAACATTCATACAGTCAGCAAATTAACATGTTGATTTGTTGATAAAAAATTAAGTATAACAGAATGCAACTGACCCTAGATATGAATTTCATACTCACGAAATAGGCAGCCAAATCGTTTTTAATTGGAAAAAATAGGCAGAATTGATCCCATTTCCGGCATAAAAATAATGGAAAAGCCAGAGAAAGTGAGAGCTGTAACAGTGACCGCTTAGATATGCTTCCTAAAACTAGCCATTAGGTAAGTGAACATCGAAAGAAATTATTCCTCCTCGAGTTCTATTTTCACCATCCGTGATGAAGTATATGCTCACTATGATAATGATACAGTGCTTTAATTTAATTTAATTAAGGAATTAAGGTGCAGCACACCTTCAAAAAGAGCGCTTTAAGCGTTAGAAACCACAAATTAATTACGATATTACGAAAGCGCTATGAAATTAGCAAAGCAAAAAAAACAGAATTGAAAGCGTTTTTCCATGAAAGATAAGCTAATCATTTTATCTACATAAAGTTATCTTAGCAAGCTAGTGAAATGATCCATCAGATTTCAATGTTTAAAACTGAATTCTTCAGGCTGATAAAAAGCGAGATTTTTTATTTTGCAGCTCCAGCCTCGCATGCAATTACTCGAATTGCTACTTTGCTTTGAAAGGAGAGACAAGTATCGAAACACTTAACATCAGAGTACAATCCTACGAGAAAAACCAACAATGTTAGAACGATTCGTTTGAGCCAAGCAAAAATCAATGCAACAATATTGATCGTATTTTTAGAGGAAAATATGTTAGCTATTGTATAAACCACTTAATGAATGCAAAATGCTTTCGAATAAATGGGCTCTAAAAAGTGAATTCGTATCTTAGCATCATTATTGACCATGCACATAAAAAAGATTCAGAGAAGTTGTTTAGAAATGGGATGGCAAATCAAACCGACTATCGAAACAGAAGATCAGTTTTAGGGTAAACAACATGCGATTAAATTGGATGCAAAACTTTGCATGCGGTTTCATACAACAAACAATTGATGTCCTAACATAATGTATGAGCCACAAACACGAAACACTTCTGTTAGTCTTTATAAGTCATAATCATGCGGCGCCAAATTAAAGTTGGTCCCCGTGAATGCTACTCATATTGACTTAACCCTCCACCGCCTGACATGAGTAACCGGAGCAATATTGTCACAAGCCTATACTTCTCAAAAAAGATACGTTCAAGTCGCAAAATGACTTGCACTGATGGTTGCCGCCACGTACAACAACTTTAAAATGTTCTCTATTGCGTACAAACGTCCTCAGGTTGCTTCACTCAATAGTTTATGTTTAATTTAAGTTGAAAGTTATGTTCCCGGAGAGTAACATGCGGCGGTAGAGGGTTAACTTTGACCCTCAGCTGACCAATGTTAAGAAGATAATAATTGTGACTTAACTAAAACTCCAAAGTGATTTATCTAAGTGAGAAATCTAGTCAATGTGTAATTTTGTTGCTAATGAACGGAAAACCAGAAAACCAACAAAAAAATTTCAGAGTTCCCTGAAAATGATCAGAATAAAATTGATCATCATTAAGGATCTACCTTTCGTTTCTTCGGAGACATTTCGACAGGGTTAGCTTCCTTCTCCCTGTTCGAGACCACTTGGGCGTTAGCATTGCTGTCGTTGAGCACTCGATCTTTTGTCTCCGTCTGGCAATGTAAAAATAAAACAATCTCATCGTCCGCGAAAACAATCGATTTGTTTTTTATTTGAAACCGTAACAATGAATTGATTTTTGCAATGAAAAAAATTCGTGGTGAATGCAAAAAAATGGAAGTCAAGAAAATCTGTTTCACACGAAAATGGTTTAGGACATCAATGAATTTGTTGGCCGAAGAGTGACTGACAATAAATTTCAACAACGAAACAAGCAGTCTAAGTTCAAATGAACAGCATTCTTGAATTTAATACATTTTGAATTGGACTGAACCTTCAATCAGTCTTCAAAAACGATTTAAAATTAATTTCAGGACAATCGGGACACCTGTTTTGTAAATTTGAACCCTTAGATATCTAGCGAGCGTATTCGAGTTAAGAGTTCCTAAAACTCATACAAGGTTGGATTTGTAAAAATTTGCCAAAATATCAACCCTTGGAACTTCATATGTTACTGAATTTGACGCTCATTAAGTTTCATCTTTCAGATTAACCGTTCACATACAATTTTCAGTGGTACATAACTTAGTCCGATGCACGGTATGAAAGAAATGTCCAAAAAATTAACAAATATTACCTGCCATATCACTTCTGATTTCCATGCACTAAACTTAAAAAGTTTGAATATCCTCCTCCTCCTAAAATATCCTCCTCCTCCTCATGAATAACAAAGGTGGGTTGTACTGTATAATATGAATTATATCGTTGCATTGTAATTGACTGCTAAGAAAAGTTGACAGTATTAGGCAACTGTCCATAGAAAACATAAATTTTTGCAAGAAGATGGTAGCATTGCTTTAAAATTAAAATACATTAATTTGTTTTGCTACGCAAATCAAGAAATTGGAGATATGAGAGGAGAATCACGACTACAAATAAAGTCGCTTGCAACCACCAAAAAGAAAAGTGCTGGCCATTATCTACTCGTACGGAAGATACAGTTGGGAAGGATGCGGGTTTGAATCCCATATAATAGAACAAAATTTTACAAGAACAGTCATTCCAGAAATTGAAATTACTTTCATGCTTATTCTTCAGCTAGGTACGATTTTTTAAATTTAAATCGTGCAGGAAAGTTCATTACAGGTGCACAGAAATTGTTCTATGTGAGCTTAAACCAAATGGACAGCGAGACATTTGGTAAATTCTTTCACGCTCAGAATCTTAATTTTACTTATTATACAAATATTCTACAACTCCTTGATATTTGATTCCTCTTTATGATTACAGGTTCAGTTTGTGTCACACGAATTGAATTGCAATTAACCGATTTTTTAAACTTGGGGACTATTTATCACTTTATGCTCATTATCTTCAACGGTTCATGTGCATAAGGTGGTTCTGCTGATAAATGCATGTTTTATTGTTGAATTAATCTACGTTGTTCAAGTGCATGGGAATAAAATAGGCACAAAATATACAAATGCTTGCCTTCTTGACAGAAGTTGCAACATGTTATATTATATCCAAAAATTTCGCTGAGACTCTGATCTCCATAATAATCACCACATTCATATAAAGAAAGGTTTCTTCAGAGTGTTTCTCAGGAACCACTAATTCACCCACCTTAAGAATTATGATGAAAAATAAGTATTAACACAGCCTTATTTCGAATTTAGTAGCAAAGCTCTGTCGGGAGTCCTTCTCAGAACGCTAGAACACAGTATCACTTACCGCCAGAACATCGAGTTTTGTTACTGTACAGCTAATATATTTTTCCCATGTTCAAGCTTCCCAGGTGATCTCAATAACGTAGATGATCAGAAGCTAAGGATAAATTATTTCGAAAATTAAGTATTGTGAATAGTTAGAATTATTTTCCGGAAGGTAAAATAATTTAATTATTTTTTTTTAAAACATCGAAATTAAAAAGCTAAATTAATGTCGAAAATTTTTACATAAACTTGCTTTGAAGTCGATTTGTGTAGGCTTCTCTTCAGTTTTTTGTTCTCATGCATGCATGCTCTCTCTAATTATATGTATACTGAAGTGCATCCACCACCATACACTGCTGGTTTTGAGATAACCCCTCTAGAATCATCCGTATATACACCTATATAATATATTATTGTAATACATAATATGTATATAATATAATATTGTAATATATAATATGTATATAATATAATATTGTAATACATAATATGTCTATAATATAATATTGTAATACATAATATGTATATAATATAATAGTGCAATACATAATATGTATCTATATAACACGACGCACTCACCTTCTGCTGCTGCTGGGCATGAGATAATCTTTCTATACTGATCTATATATACACTTCTTTAATACAATATTTTAACACATAATATGTATATTATATAACATTGTGACACGACGCACTCACCTTCTGCTGCTGCTGGTGAGGGAGGTGGTCGCGACGTCTGCGTCTGCGAGGGTCTGCGTCGCCCTGCGTGTCGGTGGGCGGCGCGTCGATATTCTCCTGGTCCAGCACGTTGTCGTCCAGCATGTTCTCCGTGAGCCCCCCGCCGCCCCCTGCCCGGTCCGTCCGGGTTCCGTACCCCATACGGCTGCAAAAGACAATTATTTTAAGGTATTTATCATTTTTGTAGTACGGCTACAAAAGACAATTATTTTAAGGTACTTAAAATATGTGTAATTTTTAGCGCATTTTCTCATTAACGGAAAAAATGCCCTATTGCGTTCGTCATGCCCATCTGTCCGTTAGTCCGTCCGTCTGTCTATCCGTCCGTGACTCACGTCTTCGTCGACGAGAAAATGCGCTCTCTGTCACTCACTGCAGTGAGTACTGAGTTAAATTTTTTAAGGTATTTGGAGTAGCCTGATTGAGTTTCCACTTCGACTTTGTATTATGACTGAGACTCAAGGTATCTTAAATGTTCCATTGATACACATTAAGTTTATTTTTCATACGTAGAAGAAAACATGAATATTTTATATTCATGAATATCTTGAGGCACTGATATAATAATATTTAGCCTGACCTGTCGGCCTGCTGCGCCTTGGTCATGACGGCGTGGGTGGTGGTGGTGGTGGTGCCGATGGAGTTGTCGGTGGGCGTCTTCTCCCAGTCGTAGGGATCGGACTCTTTGACCCCACGACGCTTCATGCAGCGCTCGAACAAACCCGACAACATCTGACATCCAAATAAAAATTTTAATTTTTATATCCTGACTTCAGCAAAAAAATTGCTGCAAGGCTGCTGATTATACTTTTCCAGGTTGAATAACACCATGTACATAATTATTAATAATTATACTGTCTTTAACAACCTAATTGCATTATTGCTAAATCCATCACAGAGAAAGTTCTAAAATTCAACAAGAACATTAAAAACTGAATGGAAACAATAGACAAGAATAACATATTTCAAAAAGTCAAAATTTCATTAACGGCGGGAGTGATCGGAAGTTTCTCATTTCAAAAATAACTCTAACGCGATCGCTATTCCATGAAATTTGTTATTTTTTCAGATCATGTCTGCGACAATTTTTTGGACTGACGTGGTTAACTTCACCATTGAAAGAACACCATCAATTATTAAAAAATATTTAAATGTATTAATATCAAGCACGGGGATGCTAAATTATAAAAAACATAGTAAGAAAGTACAGAACTAAAACAAGTTGACACAACAGAAGGTAAAATGGCCTGAGGCTTACCGCATAGTCGGGCTTGTCGAAGTATGCGAGACCTTGGATGTGTTCCAGGAATTGCTTGAAGTCGGACGGCATGTGCTTGATGAGAGTGCGGTGATCGTACTTCTCTTTCATTAAACCAACCTTCAAATAAAAAATTGCTTAATTAAACCATGATGAGAGTGCGGTGATTATACTTCTCTTTCATTAAACCAACCTTCAAATAAAAAATTGCTGAATTAAACCATGATGAGAGTGCGGTGATTATACATCTCTTTCATTAAACCAGCCTTCAAATGAACAATATTATTGATTACTCAAACCGTAATTCGTTTAATGAGCGTGCTGTGATCATACTTCTTTTACATTAGACCAGCCTTCAAATGAACAATATTATTGATTAACGATACCATATTTCGTTTAATGAGCATGGAGTGATCGCACTTCTCTTACTCTCTTACATGAAGCAAACCTTCAAATAAATTAATAAATTAATTTGATAAACCAGAATTCGTCGCCAACAAATTCACTTGAAATCTATTAAATGATAATCAATTCCGACCTGACATTTCCTAACGGGTTACGTGATTTTTTTATGGATTGTTTGATTTTCAAACCATATCACAATGAAAAAAAGTATACCCATACTAGATAGATTTACGTTCCATGTTTCCAGTTACATTTTAAGAACCATTTCCTATTCCTGTTGAAAATTTATATTCAATGAAAAACTCATTTATTATTTAGTATATGTTTTGAGTTCAAACCTGTTCCTTATCCTTGATTTTTCTCCAGGGCAGCTGGCCGTTGACAAACTCGACTGTGATGTAGAAGAGCGACCACAAGTCGTCGTGTCGGCCCATCTCCTTGTTCTTGTGCGCGTTTATGGAAGCGTAGCGAACTGTACCTGTGAGACACGCATGATGCGTTATGTGATTTTAGCAACATGTTTTTATGAGAATCTTGAAGTTCTCTCCAGAAAAATGTACTATTTTCAGCGTTCTATAGGTTACAATATGAATATGATCAACATTAAGGCCTAACAGTAACTGAAAGGAAGTAGGAAATGTGAGGCAAATTGATTTTAACCGATTTGAATAGACAATATTAACTGGTTGAATTTTTTAGCACGTCAAATAGTTTATATACTTCAGTATAATTCTAAACTACTGACTTAAAAAAACATGCGTGGATGATTTAGTTTGAGACCCGTTGACTTCAGAAAAAATTTAGGGAACTAAGAACATTTTCAACAAATGGAAGACACTGGCATTTAATTTTCAACACAATATCAAGCCAAAGAAATGCTCAATTTTCATTTCCTAGCTTGGTTCAATGACGAATTTAATCTTCCGTTACATAGAGAGATGACGATGAGTTGTGACTTTAGGCTTACATATATATTAAAATTTTCACGGATAAATTATTATATTATTTACCCCTGAAACCAGCAGCAGCTCGAGGTGTTCGCACTTCGCCCTGGGCGTTGGTGTATTGACGAGCCAAGCCGTAGTCAAGCATGTAGACCTTGCGACAGTTGTGTGGGAGGCGGCCGGTGCTGAAATTCGACTGAACGACGGAAAATATATACAAGTATTAAGTAAAGCTTAGAAATTAGGCGTCATATCATTGAAAAAATTACATTATTTCGTGAGTAAAGTATGAAGGAGCAAGTTTTGTTCGACTAAAACTCGAAGGAAGCCATATCATTATTATTCTATAGTAAAGAGGGAAAATAAGTTAAACTTTTGAAGTGAAGTCCGTAGAGTTCGACGATGAATCCAGATAGAAAATTTATAAAAGTTTTGCCCAGAGCGCATATGGCGCATATGACCGCAATAGTCGATGAGGGCTGAAAATTTAAACATTTTAAACTCTGATCTTAAAAGCAGTGTACAAAAAAGTAGATGTACTAAAAAATTAATTGCTCAATTACGACGAATTTCGCGTTTGTAACGGTATGCATTTGTATCTTGGTTGTCCACATGCAACCTATATGAAGACAAGAAAAAAATACCTGTGCAGCTGATTTGAAAGGAAAAGACTAAAAATACCTACGACAAATTTCGTCCTTAATTTGAATAAAAGGAAAAGCTATAAATAACGAGAAATGAGTTATATCTTCTAACCGGTTTGATGTCACGATGTAAAAAGCCGACTTCATGGATGGCCTCAATAGCCTTGAGTATCTGGTGGCTGAGCCTGAGCGCTGTGGAGAGACTGAAGGCTCCTCTAGGCTGCGCGCGCCGTAGCTCTGCTAGGTTCTTACCCTGCAGCTGCATCACCACGTAGTTGAAACGCTCGTTGCGCCCGCACCCGATGAAGCGACATACGTGGTCGCGACCTGCACGAATATTGCAGGTTATGGTTGAGCAGTGAAGTGGTAGTATATGTTAAGAAATCATAATACACACTAGACTGACGTTTGGACCCCTGCACCCAATGAAGCGACACACGTGGTCGCGACCTGCACAGTCTGCACGAGGAGTGCAGGTTATGGGTGAACAGTGAAGTGTAGAAAGTTAAAAGTTCAGTCTACCAGTGAAGAAGGTTAAAAAACATGATATAGAATAGCCTGAGTTAGGTATCCCTGCACCCAGTGAAGCGACACACGTGGTCGCGACCTACACGAGGAGTAAATGTTATGTGTGAGCAGTGAGGTGGTAGTGAAGGTTAAAACCATGCATTAATGGCTGAAAAAGAAATGTTCAATGTATTTATGATTATTTTTCGTAGCTATATGGGCGTTCTTGGTTGAAATGTGAGTAATGTGTTCATCAGTGGTGATTAGCTAATACATTGACGAGGTTTAAGAAGGACTAGCAGAACAGCTCTCTGAAGTATATAAAATACTCACCATAGTGAGAAGCATAATATTAGTAACCATAAGTTAAATTTATATGAGGTATGAGGCATTACACCGGTGAAGAGACATATCCTTTAGAAGTGGTTCATAGATCGCCAAGTTCTGAGTTATCAGTTATCAGTACAGTTGTTATCAATGCAGCTACTATCAATATATCTGTTATCAATATAGCTGTTATCAAAACAGCTGTTATCAATACAGCTGTTATCAATACAGCTGTTGTCAATGCAGCTGTTATCCATACAGCTATTATAAATACAGCTGTTATCAATACAGCTGTTATCAATACAGCTGTTATCAATTCAGCTGTTATCAATACAGCTGTTATCAATACTGCTGTTGTCAATACAGCTGTTATCAATACAGCTGTTATCAATACAACTGTTATCATTTCAGCTATTATCAATATACAGCTGTTATCAATACAGCTGCGGGATCAGTTATGAGTAATGAGCTCCATGAGTAGAAATGAATGATTTCGTTCTAAGGTAACCACAAAGTTATACCATGAGGCATGACACAGTCAACTGTAGTTGACTGTGTATACGGTAGAAAGTTTATGTGTGTTTCCGACATCGCATGTTAATGGCTTAAAATGTTCTCAAACTATTTTCGGTCATTATTATTCAATTTTCTATAAACATTGTTGGATTCATAAGTCTTTTTCGAGAAACGTACATCAGCTTATAAAAAAGTTTCGGCATTCATATATTTCTGCTTAGCTAAATTCAAAGCTGCACCAAAAATAATTTGTCGCCTAACTCAGCATAATTTTCAGCCGTCAACTGCAAGCTTCCCTTCAAGATTTAAACACTTTAAACTCCTCAATACAATTCAGCATAATTTGTTAAGAATAATAAGTTTATGAATAGTACCAAAAGCAAAAGCGATAAAAAACAACATGATCGCACGACCAGCTGCAAAAAAAAAGTTTCGGTGCCTAGAACTCCACCGCCGCCGAGCTTGAAGTTCAAGGTCGGAGACAGTAAAATGCAGACGTCAAAAGTTAGGACAGTTGGATAAAAACGGGCCAAGGTCGTAGAATTTAGACAGTTCCCGCATTCCATTACATATTATCGTGGCCTAGAAACAACGAGGATAAAAAGGAAGCATTTTCGTGAAGAAAACTCTTAGAAATCATATTCTAATAACTGGAAAAAATGTTGGTTGTACATCCACATCCATAGCGTAAAATTATTTTTCGGTCAATTGTAAATAAAAGTGCGAAAGGTATCCAATCAAAGATTTGAATTCCAACAATTTTTAGAGACCTCCCTCCACATCAAACGAATTATTTCAGTCAGTCGAAAAACGTTTCAAGGCATTCCATTAAATTTTAATATTATAAGCGTTTCTATACTCAGGTTTTTCATGAGACATTCCTTCGCCTGAAACCAATTAACCAAAACAATTAAAATCATCTGATATAGATTTCGTCGTAAGATCGCAAGTATAAGACGAGCCATTGTCGGGCGGCATTTCTAGAGCAGTCATTTCTAGAGTTTGTGGTCCTGGTCTCTTTCAGTAGACAGATTAAAGACTTTACGAGCTACAGTAAAGACTCAGGACAGGTAACGGCACCGTTCAGGACCATATGGCCATGCGAGCAATCAGAGCACCGCGCTTTACCATAGACAACTTTTCGGCTCATTTTACCTCGTCGTTTTTTCTATGATTTGCAGAACTTGTCGGATTTATCATTAAACTGTATTAAAATACCGACTCCTTATATTAAAACACCGACCAGTCTAAATTTGGATTCCATCTAGGAACTGAAAAAGCTCGTCATACATAGACTTAGAGTTGAATCAGAATCCCGTATGATTATAAAATATATCTCAGTTCTCACTGCAGTGAGTGACAGAGAGCGCATTTTCTCGTCGACAAAAACGTGAAGTCACGGACAGACGGACAGACGGACAGCCGGACGGACAGACAGACGAACATGACGAGCACAATAGCGCCTTTTTTCCATAAATGAGAAAATGCGCTAAAAACACAAAGAACGAGCTGCAGAGAAATGAAACCAGTTTCCTTCTTCAACTCACCTTGCAACTTCTTTAGCACGGCCACCTCCATCTTGAGGACTTGCTTGGGCTGCTTGGCCGACTCGAGCTTGAGGGCGACCTGTTCTCTCGTCACCAGATCCTGGCCTTCGTATATCTCACCAAATCCTCCGCCTCCAATCTTGCGCACCTGAAGTAATAAAAAACCCAAGTAAACCCTGAAGTAAAATAAACTCACGATAGTAAAAAATTCTTTGGATGTTTTCCGACAAAGAATTCTATTAATTCATGAATGAGTTACAGGTCGATATTGTAATGCAGGTTGGGATCAATTAGGGATGGAGGATACATGTTAGAAAAAATATAACTCAGTACTCACTGCAGTGAGTGCCAGAGAGAGCATTTTCTCGTCGACGAAAACTTGAGGTCAAGGACGGACGGAAAAACGGACACACGGACGGACAGACAGACAGACGGACGTGGCGAGCACAATAGTGCATTTTTTCATAAATGAGAAAATGCGCTAAAAATATTAAATCAAATCAAATGAGTATGCCACAAATGCCCGGACAGCTGCCTGTTCATCATTGACAAAATCTTAATATCAAAAGAATAAGGTTCTCATATTTCGTAATTAAGATACCTGACACTGAATAACTATAATATTTATTCCCGACTCCAAGTGACGGCGTGAACATTGAACCGGGACAAGCGGCATTCATTCCTGTACCGCAGTTCACTAATAAAGTTCCCAGCGACTCGACTATATTAACGATTTCTCACTCCCATGACACTCATATTTGATCATCAGTTCCTCATTGCCGGGGGTTCTACAGTATTTATTACAATTAGAGATTTGTTCCTTGGATATTCAGTCATCATAGACCTAGCACTTATTGAAGGAATTCGTGAAATTTTGTTTTGGGAACGCGCGTTGCGAGGGCGGCGGCGGGCGCTGCATGGCTGAGCTATCGAGCAGAGCAGCTGTTAAAGAAGAACCAACTCGATGCGCCGCGGTCTTCCTGGACCAAGCGGTGAGGGCGAGGCGGCGACAAGTGCCCACCCACGTATTCAGTAATTACAAGAAGTAAATGACCCAATATTATTAATATAAGTGCTCATACCATTAGTCTGCTTACTCATGTACATCAAGAATTTAAAACCAAATAAAACGCTAAGTAGAATTACTATATATTCAATGGAAATGGTGAATTTACTTGTCGTTTTAATTGCATTTTTGGTAAATGACCGATAAATCATTTAATTTCAGTACGTCACTCGCAGTAATTTTCTAATTTTGTCTGATGAATGGCTGTAAAGTCAGCAATAACTTGAGATGTTAAATCTCTGGGCGGAATGACATGATTACACTGCAGCAACTTTATACAACTTTAAACAATTTAAAGTTATGCATTGCCTTGTTATAAATTTGTTAGGAATAACTTTTCATCAGAAAAACATAAGTTATATTCGTTCAATATCTTAAATTTCATAATCAATCACTGATATCAAGTGCCAGAAAAAACTTAACAATTGAAACTTTTAAATTGTTTAGGTTCAAGAGTAAAAATTCAAGAAAATATATTGTTTGGAGAACAATAAGTGGTTACCTTCCAATGGAATAAAATAATTTGCATATAGACGCAGAATTCGTATCAACTGTTGGTTGTGTCCCATGCAAACTCTAATCAATTACACATGCTCAATTTTTAGAGCAATGAAATATTGTATGTGGTAGAGAGAAGCATACGAGGCAGCCAAAGCTGTAATACTAAACTTAAATTAAATGCATAATTTGCTCTAAGCCTCAAATCAAATTTTTAAGCTTGGCGTCCGTTAGCGTTTTTTGAAACAACGCTACTTACGTTACCTGTTTAATGCTGTGAGGGATAGTGGACGTGAGAATTGTAGTGGGTTGAAACTACAACTATCATATTGAAAATATGATTGTAAAAATCCTAATAGAAACTTAAAAATCGTACTAGAAAAACTGCCTTGAATGTATCTAGACATCGCCTCGAGGTCACACAACTTCCAAAGAAAGATTTTAACTGTCCTGATCGATTGGAAAGACACGCGCTGATGGTGGCGGTCAAAGCAAGATTGTTGAAATTCTCAAGGAGGTCAAACAGAACATTTGGTGAAGATATGATTAATCCCGCTGCTTGTCCATATCATTTTTTATTTAAAATTGTGTTAACATCGCTGAATGTTTAGAATTATTTCGACATGAACTATTTTTATCCTGCAAGCCTGAAAATGGTAAGAATTTCTCGTCCCACGATGCAGTTTTAGAGAAACAATCACAATGTACGTATACCGAGCACATCACCGCCTTCCAATCTTCAGACTAAATTTGCTGTGATGGAATGAATTGTTAAAGGAAATTTGTGAAAAACGAATTATTATATTATTATCAGCATTGATAACAAATTATAAAATAAATTAAAATATTCACTGGACACAAGACGGGGCATATTGCATATACAGTAGCTTAATATAGTATATAGTACTTAAATAATATAGTTCTTATTACAGTACTTAAATCTAGTTTCATAATTTGTTCAGATGTTATGCAAGCTCGAGTATTTCACAAGGGAATAAATATTACGCCAGTGGTTTCATCAACAAGGATAAACTTCCATGTATTTTATACACACAGGAGGCCTGAGATTGCGAGCTGAATGCGGTAGTCTTTATGAATTCTGCACCTGGCGTTTGCTAGGGACGAAAATCGTCTCAGATCGCTTGAAAAAAGCTCGGTCACTGCAAATGATTAGCGAGGAATGTTGGCACGCATGCTTAGAAGATTGCTACATACCCTTAAGTGACGTAATTCATTATTGGGTTCACTATAATATTATCGTGGATATATGAATATCTCTTTAAAATAGGCCTACGCATAAAATTTAAGCGATATTTTCCTTCAATATGCAGATAATAAGGATTGTAATAAACAATGTATATGAAATAGCAAGAGAAAACTCTTAAAACTTAATATTATTACGTTATGAATTAAATGCTGCAAAGCTATCGATACTTCCGTACGTTAATACATTTCTCCGTTAATTTACAACATGAATCAGGAAGGAACTTTTCAAGGCTTCTTTCATGTTACCTGGACTACGAGCTGACTCAGATCCGCTTCAAAACTACTAATCAAAAGCACAAGTACTCTGATCGTCGGATTTAAAGTGGGAAAATTTGAGCCGCATTTTTAATTGAGATCAAATCAAGGGAAATTTTATAGCAATCGAATTTGATGTCCGGAGTTTGCGCTTCTCGCAGGAAGGCTGAATGCATATGAAGTCTTATCACTATTGATAATTGACTGAATTTGTCTGTTGAAAGTAAGAATTCTGGTTCCCTGAATCAAAATAAATAATTCGTTCGTTTTGGATTTGTGGTTTCTAAATGCTAATGAATTTTTGAATTCTTAACCATATTAACTGATGCAGAACGTGCATTTTTCACTTTCGTGAAGTGGGCAATGCTACTAGGTTGAGATATAGTTCGAATTTTAGAAGCATTTTTTTATAAGAAGAATTAATTCGTAAACATGGCATATACACAGCTAGCATATATTGCATGTCTTAGAAAATGAGTAGAAAGACTAGGAAATAGAGAGGTGATTTAATGCAACATGCCGAACGATACACAACAATGAACGCAATTTCAAAGGGAATATAATTTGCTAACTAACGTTGCTTGACGAAAATAATTAAAATCCTACAATTTCTTCAAATATTATGTCATCAAGTCTTACTAGCCACTCATCGGGTCGCCTACCTTTGGTCAGACAAATTTAAAACCCTTGCGTCTTCAAGCCCCCAGTCTGTATAAAACTTTTTTTTAATGTTTTCAGTAGTCTCCAAAGAAAATTCGAGTCGTTTAACTCTTGTATTAGCTTCTTTTGTGGCTGAAAGTTGAAAATATTCCTTACAATTTGTATGACTATGCTTTAAAGATTCCTATCTTTAAAAATTTAACGAGCGATTTGGCTCGGCTGTTATGTGGCCACACACTGTAGGGAGCGGCCGACCTCATTGGTTAAGGTTAATCAAGCAGTTTAAAAATTCCCCCTTTAGTTTCCTTTTCTCCAGGTATGTCAGGGAATATATGATGGACGTGATCTAATTTAATGTATTTTGCCGTTAACCCCGGACAGTCTGTGCCTTGGCCTACTCTGAAAATAACTTGGGACCGTTCTCTGGAAACAACTTCATACAAAGTATTCCATTTATTTGAAAGTGTAACACTATCTTTTAGACGGCTGCAAAACTTAATCGCATAAAAAATAATAATTTTGCGTACAGTGATATTTGATTTTTTTTTAATCTGACCGAATGATGCATTGATGCTCGAAACTTTAACAATCATCGGAAATAACACGTGGCAATAGTAATGTTGCTTCACGAGACGAGTTTGCTATCAATCCAACTTTCATGGAATGCATACTGATGCATTAGCTTGATAGAATAATAAATGCCCTGATCCATCACTGCAACTTATGTGAAGAGGAAGGTATTTCAAACTTATTTACAAAACTGAAATGTACTCTTAGCTACTACATTATTTATTATTATCTTACACATTGCGAGACGAGAAACGTTAGTGCGTTAGTGCGTCATATCGAATACACTTTGCTTGCTAATGTTCAAAAATGTATAACTCATCTCATTTCAAGTAAAAATAATAGTGATATAATCTTGCGTATAATGAATATAAATGTTTTTATTGCTTCTGTAAAATAAAATCTAGCCATAAATTAAATCAGCATCGGCAAGAAAGCCAATAAAAAAATCTAAATTTTCTAACCCAGTCCAGACCGCCAATTTAAAATAAGATAATCACTTAAATTTTCCGCAATTTCAAGTGGTCTGTTCTTGGTGTTGTGATGTTAATTAAGTTGATATAACTAAATTGTTTGTTCGCATCTACGGTCTTATTAATTGAAGCAAAAGCAATTCATTCTGCGTTAATTAGAGCGTGTGAATTCAGCGGCCTCTGCATGAGCTTCTTACATGACAGAGTTATGAGCGATTAGCAGAGTTTTCATTAACATTTAAATTTAAACTTAATTTAAACTTGCTGTTGTCTTCGAATAACTTCTTTAAATCTTCCTGCTCAGGATGAATATGTTTAATGAATGAGTTTATTTCAGCAGATGTGTGTGGACATTTAAGGAGA